CAGTGCTGTTGTAACGAGGTAGTTCAGGGAATATTCTACACCGAGGGAGGGGTTGTATCTGTAAAACATCAGAAATGAGCCTGGAATCCTTTCTTTTTGGAAGGAAAGACAGGTTAAAGCTTCAGACATACCAGTGGTTTGCGTTTGTTTAGAGTAATACTTGGAGGAAATCAAGAGATTCCAATGTGCTTTTCTGGTCGCTGGCTTTTTCAGAATCACTTTTTTGGTGGTTGTGTTGAAAGCATTTTCAGAAAAGACATTCCAGTCTTGTAATTCTTATAATGTGGCAAGTGCTGTGGTTTGCAGGGACTGAGGTACCTGTCTCTGGCTGCTGGAAGAGCCTCTGCTGAGACAGTTCACCGTAAGGGGCCGCAGTGCTTAAATATCTTTGAAGCTGTGTGCAGTGTCTCTTCAGAGGAGTAGCTGAGTCTTTTGGGGACTGCAGAATGCATAAGATATTGCGGACACTAATAAGCAATTAAACAAAAAGAAATCTACAGAACATCTCATACAGTTGTGCTTTTGAAGGTTTTGTTTTAATCACTAGTTTTGCTTTTCAGGTTTCGTAGTAATATAAGCTGTTAATATCTCTGAGTATGTTTTTAATTTCCATTAGCATTAATTGTAGTTAAACATTTGCGCTACGTACATCTCCCTTGAGCTCTCTAATATTGTTTGCAAAACGTAATCAGATAGTAAATGATTGTGAATGTACAGTTAGAGCACAGATAGTTTCAGCTGCGAGTTACAGTCTTAATATTAATAATCCTGTTTTTTTACTGGACACTTTCTGATATCCTAGTAAAAAAGTGTTAGTAATGTATGTTAAAATTGCTGAGTAAAGTAGTGAAAGTTGATCCATGTATGCTATCTATTAGCTTATGATCATGTTTATGTAATAAATACAGTTAAACCACCTTTTGTTTATTTGGACTGCAGGTCCTCAGCTTGTATGGAGAATCTTGTCACATTTAAAGTCTGAATGTCAGGTCCCTGTGGTTAACTGTGAGATGTTTGGAAGGTAGACAGGATCTCATGGGCTGAAAAGATTAGGAAGTGCTGATGTGAAATAATCTTTCTCCATTGAATGGTTCCTCAGAACATGCATCTCTGCTGCTAACCTCACTTCCATGAACTTCTCGCCTCCTTAAATTAAAAAAATAAACACAGCAAAATTTTAAAGTTGGCAGGGTGAAAAAAAAGTCTTTGAAGTTGAACCTCTGTCACTTGTAGTGAGATATGAACTGAACAGCTTATTACCTGACCTATTTCTGTTCATTGTCTTTCCTAAGTATTTTCAGAAGTCGCTAAATAATTTGCACTGTTGCTTAAGTCTCCATTTTGTGAACCTCAGGAAAATCTGTATCTGTAGATCCTACTGCCATCTCCCCTTCATGCAGCACCTCCCAAACTACTTAGTGTTTCCCAGAGAAAATTAGTGGGAGGAAACTGAGGTGGTGTCTTGCTGGTGAGCAGTTTTTTCCTGCTTAATTTAGAATGATCTTTTATTTACTTGGTATTATCAGCTGTGTTTATATGAAGATTTGTTTCCATTATTTTTAATTTCCTTCTTCCTGTTGTGTTCATTCCTTATCTGTTTGCTTTTTATCTGTGTCTTAATTATCCGACATGTACTCTGTACCGTATGTAAGCTTTGAAGTGTTTCACATTAAGGATGTGTTTAAGTAGTGCTTTGAGTTGATGCCAGAGTTAATTTTGCCAATGAAATGTTGGCACACTGGGTCTCTGGAATACTGTTACTGCGTTGATGAATGTTTCTGGTCCTTTAACCCATTGCTTTGCCTGTGATTTACGGCTTGTGTCTCATGATGCAGTAGAATAGGACTTGGGCTGTGAAAGTTTTACAGAGGTGTTAATTTAGAACATAAAGGTAATGTAACAGTCTGATAGCTCAGCTGATGCCACTTTTTGATAATACTATGAGTAGGTAATTCTTTCATTAATTCTATAATAATTTCATGTAGATTTCCAGTGGGTCCAGGGAGATGTATGTGAAGTTCAGTTGATGGTGTACAACCCTATGCCTTTTGAGCTCCGAGTGGAAAACATGGTATGTATCTTCCTAAATCCCCCCTTTTTATTATTGTTTCTGAAAAATGTCTTAGTTGAACTTTCAAATACAGTTTTCTATAAATCAAATAGTTTAAAAAATCATTTAAGCCAGTATAGCCTCAGTTTAACAGCACAGTACTGTCAGTTTCTCATATTTGTTGGTAATGAGGTATTGAAATGAAAATCTCTGCCACTCAGAGTGTTTAAATGCTTTATGGTTACTGACCCGTAAATCAATTCTGTGCCTTTCTGCATTGACTAGAACTCATGCTACATAATTTCTGTATACTGGTTTTCAAGTAATAATTATATCCTGAAACCTAATAATTAGTGTATACTTACTACTGTTAAAAATCTGCATTCATCCTAGCCTTACAAATGCCCATTTCGTCCACATTTTTAAAAATCTGAGGAATTAAAATAGTTCGTTCTGAGCAGATTTTTTTTTTTTAATAGAAGCTTCGGCTCATGGATCTGCTGTTCCCAATGATATATGTTATTTGAAAATACTGTAAGCTAAAATGATTAGAAGGGAGGGAAAAAAAGGCTAAAACACGAGAGAAGCATGCAAGGTTAGAGAGATCAAGCCCTCTACTACGTCAGTCGACTGCTTGCAGTGTATCCTGAAATAAATTGGGTTTTTTTCCCTTCTTTATGCCAACTAACAGGATTTTTTCTTTAATTGTTTCCATTTAAAAAGTCGTCTAACTACCAAACTAACTTAGTTGCCATTCAGTCCTAATCCATTGTTGTCCTTTATGTTAAATATTTTTACCTTTAATATTGCTTTAAAATATAAACCCTGTCTCTTACAGCCCATTGCTCTGTTAGGCTAAGTGAATTAGCATATATTTATTTGCTCGGGATTTTTTTTTTTCAATTGGTAGGTCTACTGCAGTGGCTAGTCAAACTACTTGACCTACATTACTGGTAATATGCCACATATAATAAAGTATTTTTCCACAGGAAACAAGCATGCCCAATGATGGCACTTACAGCATAATAAAATTCATTCCTGGAAATTAACACACTGGTTTGTTCAGCAGCATTTTCTGTAACCCTCGCAGAAGTACTCCAAATTGTTAGGAATGAATAGAAAAAGTAATTGTAAACGTGTGCATCAGAAAGGACTCTATATAGGATTTAATTTATTTAAGAACATTTTGATTGGTAGTCTAATTTGTATTTTGTAAGTGATGTAATTTTTTAAAGACTAGGTTTGGATAATTTTTTGATTTCTCAATGAGGAAATTTGTTATGAGTGCTTACATACGCTTAAGAACTCAGAACACAGTTATGTGCATAGATGTACACTCTGTCCATTCCCTGAGCAAAGTAGTGGTAGTAGCGTGAATGCTTCTTTTTACTGTTAGCATGATAAAGTTCTGTCTTTGATACTCAATTGCAGTTTCATTGGTAAGCATAAGAGGAAGCAGGCATCCAAACTAGATAGAAATAATTGAAGAGATTAACGTAATTCCTTAGTCAGTGCTCCATAAATAGAGTGCTTTGAGAAATTCTGCAGTGTGCTAATGTCATGTCTTCGGTAGAAATTAGTTGATTTTGCTTCATTTGTCTGTGGTATCAAGACTGTAGCCAGCAAGTTGAGGAAAGTAATTATTCCCCTCGATTTGGCATTTGAGAGACAATGTCTTTAGAATCAGGGCCAGTTTGGAGCTCTCTGTACAACAGAAATATTGACATACTGGTATCGGTCCAGCAGTGTTTCCAGGATGATTGGTGGGCTGGAGCTATGACATGAGGACAGGTTCAAAGACATGCATCTGTTCAGTTTGTAGAAGAGTACTGGGGTAATTCCTATTACTTTCCTTGGTCTCAAAATGTGAAGGTGCAGTGAAAATGGAGCCAGACTTTTCCCAGAGGTGCCTGGCATAAGGGTGAGAGTCAGTGAGCATGTCGCAGCAATGGAAAACTTTCCTAATAAAAAATTCCCTTTTTCCAGTCATAAGGGCGATGATACACTGGCACTGGTTGCCCAGAGAGAACATGGGATCTCCATCTTTAGAAATCTTCAAAACTTGAGTGTATAGTATGGTGAAAAACCTAAACTACCATCAAAGTTGGCCCTGTTTTGAGCAGTGGGCTGGGAGAGAGGACCTCTAGCATTTCCTTCCAGCCTAAATTGTTCTGATTTTCCAGTCTCATCCGTGAGCTTTCTAGAATGTGGGAATAGTTATTACTTTATCACAAGAATAAACTCTTTTGTTTTTATTTTAATAATTCAAAGCATTGTTTAATATTTTAAAATGTTTTGTTTTATTCTTCACATGTACTCATGTCTGCAGTCCCCATACGCCCTTGTTGTCTGATTTCTCATCACGTATTACATTCTTTCATATTATTTAGTCTCATAGGATCATTTTCATGGCAAGCATATCCTTTTCTGTCATTTAGTGGCAGTTTCAGCCTGTTTGTCCCACGACTTTTTTCCTTCTGTCTGACTTGGCACCTTCCCTTTGCAGTATGATTCTCCATTGAAGCTTGTTTCCAGTGACTGACAGCAGTTCTTGGAGTTCTCCATTGCTTGATTTCCTTTGTTCTTTACCTTTTTTGTGGTTCACCGTTCATCAACATGTAACTGTCCTGAAATCTATAGTCTTACTCCTTTTTTTCTAATTTTCCCTTTGCTTTGTCTTTCAGTTTATGATTTGTTGCTCTGTTAGCTTACTTGTTTCATGTTAAATGAATGCAGGAAGCATCGATCCAAACTTTTATCGTGATACTTTGCCTAATGTGTCTTCCTGTTGGTTATGGCTGAAAGTTGTAATGGTAAAAAACTTGGTATTGAGCACATGTTGTTAAGAATGGTTCCTCATTGAAAGGCTTCTCTAGCTTTTTTCATTGTTTGAAGTATTCATGCTAAGTACACATAATTTAATTGAGGTGTGCTGAAGTAAAAAAGTTACATTTTTAGACTTGACATGAGGCTGTGGGGACAAGACTTTGATCAGTGTTGCTCAGATGATAAGCCCTGTACTATCTGAGAAGTTGATTTTTTGTTGCTGTTATTTTATTTTATTCTTCTCAAAACTCTTTGCCCATCTTTGTTGTTCTTGCTGTTTATTCCCTGTCATGCATATTCGTGATTTGAGACTCCATTGAGATACCTGTTCTTCATGCACGTCCCATTTCTGTATTACTTCTCTGTCTTTTTCTATTTCATGTTTTTGTTTTGTCCGTATGGTTAGAAGGCTGATCCACTGCAAGGTGCAATAGTGTTTGTAAAATGGCAGATGAAAATGCTTAATCATGAAATATGGAGGTGATTAGGTCCAACAACTGTGTATTTTGGTCAATAAAGTGAAGTAGGAGAGATCATGGAGTGATCAGAGGAAATACTTCAGTAAAGCTTGGAGGGTACCTTAAATCAACAGCGTGAGAGGAAGACAAAAATGAGCCTAACTAGCTGTGACTGCAGTGGATTAGACAGAATATTTTTGCTGTCCTGGTGGTGGAGCCCAAGTTAACAGGAGATGCGATGTTCAGCTGTAACTAAGTGTATATACCACTTCACTTTTTCCCCCAGGAATATTGATTTCTGTACAGACTTGTACAGGTATGTGAATGATAGCTTCTCTCTCTTTTGCAGTTATTAAGCCTTTTTTCTGTTCAGGAAAAAATGACCTTCAGATTTCAGGCTTTCGAAAAGAAAACCAAATTCTGGGAAATCTCTGATGGATTTATTTTGTGTCTTGGGAAGTATGTTTAAAGCAGTAAATCATGGTGCAGTCTAGTGAGATCTACTATTAACCTAAAATGCATGTGAAGATGTGCTGCAAAGTCTGTTAAGTCCTCTAAGATTTTAACTACTTTTTCCTTTTTGTTTCTGAAGTTTCATATTAAAGGCAAAAAAAAAAAAAAAGCTGAGAAGTTTTGAGGCAATGTTATCTATTGAGTGGAAAGCATTTTTTCTGCACTTAGTGTAGAAAATGCAGCTGTGGTTCTTAGAAGGCTACAATATATACAGAGCAGCGTAAACTATTGAATAATATCGAGAAACTAAAAAATAGTACCCCAAAACACGGGGCTAATGTAGTTTATAGTAGTAAAAGCTCATTATTCAGAACGAAAGTCTTTGTTCTGTAGTTCTCCTTCTGTTCAGAGTATGTATTGATTTGAAGACAATTTAAGTGTTGTATTTTGATTAATGATGCTATAAGAATGGCTTTTTTTTTTTTGGTGAATGTCAAAACTAGACTATTAGCCAAGAGCTCTATGCTGATGTTTAAAAATACCATCTAGAATTTTGAGAAATCTTTATGTATAATCAGTCCTGTAACTTAGCTTATGGTCACTTAAATTGTTTCCATGAACTGCTCTTCAGTGAGTTCACATCTTTGTACTGTTTCTGCCGTCTTGAGAGAATATTTACTTACTGATACACTACTTTTAATTGAAGCTATATTAGGCAAGAATGTACACAAAAAGATGCAGGGGGAGAAGGATAAAAATGGTTGTGGTTGGTGTTTTCTAGGTCTGCCTAAAATAACCTTATTAGAAATAGTGGGGAAAATTTCCTTTTAAATAAATATTTCACAGTTTTTGTGCAAAGTGTTTGACAACATCGTATAAAGTATGTTCAGGGTGAAAACTAACTTTGATGGCAGTGTTACTTCAAAAAAAGAACGATTGCATTTCAGGATTGGTAAGTAAAGCCTAAAACAGCAGTTACATGCTCATGTTGTTTTAACAGCGTTCCCAAATGCTAACACTTATATACAAGTTGTTTTGTTCCTCTGAAACTAAATCGAGGTTTGAAGTGATTGAAAGACATGCTGTGATAATAACATGCATGTATTCACTCTAAGACAATTTAAGTTGTTTTATAAGAATGCAAGGAAATATAAAAATGGGTGGATTTTTTGTGTGATTCGTATATTCTCTGGAGGAAACCTTGTATACGGGCAGTGTTTTTTTGTAAGGTCAGAAAGAGCAATGATTACTGAAGAGTTTTACTTGAAAGAAGGTGTGAGACTCAAGGGAGAAGAAATCTAACACTTCCTTTTTTTTATGTGCATCTGATACGTTTAGGTAAAGGTTATGAAAGAGCTTCAGCCTTGGTTTGATTTGTCACTGTTAATCTAAAAACCTTTTGGGCACCAGAGGGCAATGTTGGGCAAATATTGAATTCTGCTACCCAGCAGACAGCAATATCAAAAATGTCTTTCAGACATTCTAGAGAAGTCATTGTCTTTTAAAACGTATTTGTGTGGGTTAAGTTTTAAGGGTAAGCATCTTGATTTCAGTTTATGTCTGGAACTCCAAAGCCTTGTTGAGGTTCCTATTGTTTTTTTTTTTTTCCATTTCAATGAGGTTTTGTGTTTTCTTAGTATCTTTACTTTTAAAAACCTTGAAGTTTTACTGAATAGTGAAACTCTCATAATGAGAGAAATGAATGCTGTATTCTCCTTGGTATGATAATACACTTGAGGCTCTTTTATTTCTCGTCCAGGCATAGTATGTGCTTAGTGCAGATGTTTTGGCATTTCCATTGCATTTGCTCTCTAGACAAACTCTATGTTTTCATGGTTTTTGTTGTTAAAGAATCAACTGAGAATGCATTCTTAATGCATTGTAAGAGAAATACATTGTGTTGAGGACTTACTTTGCTTTAGCAGTTACGTGTGATCAATGTGCTGAGTTCGTGATCAGCATGATCCAAGGGTGTCATTTTGATATGAGATTTCAGGGGTTAGGGAGCAACGTACACTGTATGTAGCAATTTTTTTTGCTCCACTGTTAGTAAATCGTTTTAATACTAACAATTTCTTTTACTAGTAACTCTTCCTTCTTGTCCATAAGCACATGCATATGTTGGGTGATTGTGCTCCAGATGCATTTGCATGCCTTTTTTTCTATTACTTTCTCTATTTATCTTGATTTTTGTCTGGATTTTGTCTGCTGTTAACATACCCACATTAAATCCTTTGGTGAGGAAGATGCTTTCTCTGACAGATGGGTTGTGATCATTGCTTTTCCGGAGCCTTGACCATTAGCCTTTAACAATATTACCATTGATTTTAGTTTTTCTTGGTTCATTTCCCTGTTTTTTTTCCCCCACAGTTCTGATCTGTAGTTTCTTCAGGGTTATTTGGCCCTGGTCCTTTCCAAGCCTCAATTCACTGCAACGAGGGAAACTCATTGGTGTCATAGATCAAAACTCTTGTTGGGCTGTGAGGTTCTGACTGGAAGTTTTGGGGTCATATGGCAGACTGTATATGTGCACGCATAGCTAATTTTGATGCCTTTTTCAGGACTCCACTGGTTTATGGTCCCCTTTGAGGTTATTTTTTCCTTTACAGGAGCCTAAAAGGCTTTCAGTGAAATGTCTTGTCATGCACGCCCCCAATCCCGCTTGATAGTGGAGGATGTCTGGTTGCTGGGATGGGGGACTAATTCATATTAAGTAAGAGCACAAAATTGGTTAAGATGTTAAACAGTGTCGGTCCCAATTTAATATAATAATATTTAGAGGTCCCTGTCAGTTCTTGTTACTTACATTCACTATAGCTGATACTAAACAAGACACTGGAAGGGATTTTTTTGTCATTGATTTTTTAGGACTTTAAGTCCTTGGATGAAAGTATTTAGTTGAGGTGAATCCTGAATAATTCAAATATATTTGAATATTTGGCCAAGTGATAGTTCAGTGCTTTCAGGGCTGAAATAGTCTTAGAAAGCCTTCTGTACCTGTTTTAAAAGTGAGTTTTGGAGTGTGTATGGGGTCATCTTTTGATTATGTTGTAAGATTTGCTTCAGCTAAAGCAAAAGCAGAATGATTATGATGAAGACTGTCAGTATTAAAGTCAGTATTAAAGTGTGAATGTCCACTCCATTTCTGTGGGGTGAATCCTGCTGGAAGAATTCATATTCCATCACATGCAAACAATAATGTTGCATCCTATGTAAAATTAGTTTGTATTGGCTTGTTATTGCAATAATTATTTTGATCTCCTTATTCTGAAATATGGCAAGGAATAATTTACCGACTGCAAACAAGGTCTGTTTAAGCTCACAGCTACAGAAATGTAACTATTTGAAACGTAGTGACCAAACTTGCGTTCAGGCAGTGAAAATAAAAAGTGTCAGTGTTTTGGTCACAGAATCACAGAATCATGGAATGGTAGGGGCTGGAAGGGACCTCTGTGGGTCATCTAGTCCAACCCTCCTGCCGAAGCAGGGTCACCTACAGCAGGCTGCACAGGACCTTGTCCAGGCGGGTCTTGAATATCTCCAGAGAAGGAGACTCCACAACCTCCCTGGGCA